GCCATCTCAAATTGTTAGATAAATTGTTGGTCCCAGAAACCATGCGGAGATTCTTAGTATGGGTGCCTGTTAGAGTGCTCATTGAAGGCACGCATATTTAATTAGGTGGCATTAATTTATTCAAAATAAGTTTGTTAAACATTTACTTTGTTTTAGTCACTTTAGTACATGCTTATGTAGTAAAAAATTATTAATGCCATGAGAAAATTCTCTATATACATTTCAGTTGAGTACAATCAACCAAGTGTATTTAGTTATGGTGTAAGCCCTGAGAGTTGTTTTTTCTTTTTTGTGATGCCAGTGCTTCACCTAAGCTTTGACTGCCAGGGCACCCACTCCAAAGCCAGCGACAGGGGCCGGAGGACAGGGTGTGACCCTGCCGGCCAGGTGAAGGAGAGCCGGCCCCCACCCCCGCCACCCCGTCTCCCTCCTGGCTCCTTTGTTTTAGCAATCTGGGTTATTTCTGAAACTGATGATTCATTTTTTCTTTTCTTGAGCATTAAATTCCAGCTCTTATGTTTTAATTTCACTAATGAAGGGTGAGTCTGCGAAACCCTAGGCCTCCACCCTCAACCCCAATAAAAGCAGAACTATAGGCCCATGTGCTTTTTCTCTCTCTCACCTGGACCTCCCTGCTTGGCTCCACGTGTGCTAAGTAATTTCCAGGACTTATAAGTAATAAACCTTTTTTTCCTTCAAAGTGTCCTGATGGTTATTGCTGAGAGCACCTTGCAATCATAATAAGAATCACAAGGGCCAGTCCAGCCATAACATTGGTTACCAATAGGTTGAGACTGGCACAAAACAATAATTTAATGCATTACTATTTCTTAATAATTTGAAACGCCATACATGTCTCATATTGAACATGTGTAATATATCTGTGTATGTGTGTGTGTGTGTGTGTGTCTGTGTGCCTGCGTGTCTGCATGAGGTTTCCCAGTGTATGAGTGTTTTTAAAGTATGTAGGCCTGCAAGACACCTCCTCCTCAGGGTTTTTGTAAGATCATTGTCATTCTTAAAGTATATCAGACATTTTTAAAAATACACATTTAAATCCTTTACAAGAATAAACTAAAATTTTATCATTGTCACAAAAGTTAAAACAATAGTTGAATGAAACATATAGTCATGAATGATTTTAAAAGATTCTTAGAAACCAAGGAATAGAAGATAATTCCTTTAATGTTAGGAAGTGAAAATTAAGCCTCTTCCTCAAAATAAACCACCAAACCAACAGTGAACCTAAAAGTCAATGACAGAATGTTAAAACATTCCTTCATGAGTCAAGAAAAGACAAAGGCACCCTACATCACCACTTCTATTCAAGTTTAATTCAGGCCTTAGCCCAGTAAAATGAGAGAGAAAGGAACAAACCTGAAAGAAAGAGTATAATATACAAGAATTCCTGAAGAGAACCTTGGGTATAAAATAAATATATAAAGAAGGAAAAGGAATAAATATGGCATAGTTAAAAAACAAAATCATAATACATTTTTAAATCTAAGACAAACTACATTTTCAATTTAAAACACAATAGCCGCAATCCTCAGTCAACTTAACTGAAGATAGAGAATTATCATTCCTCATGTTTCTCTTCTTAGCAGCAGTCTTATTAGGGGTTTTCTTTTAAGTTAAAAAAATGATTAGTACCGTTATGTATTTCCTTTTTCCTAGGCACAACTAATCACTCCCAAGCAAATCCATCACGATACACAGATTTGCTTCCGTCTACTAAAACCATGCAGCTGAGACCTGAAGCAGCACATCTAAGTGTGGTCCTTGGACCACCAGCATGAACATCACCTGAGCACTTGCTAAACAGGTAGTAAAGTACGATTAATTTAAATATATTGACTCAAAATACTTACTTTAATTAAATCATCAGGTGATTCCTCTTCACAGTAAAGTTTAAGAGGCACTTCCCTAAAGTACTTTATTGCCAAATGCATGAGAAATTGTGTGATTGTGTATTAACAGAGGATGAAAAGTTTACAAGGATTACAGACAAAAAGTGAAAACCCATAATGAACTTGTCTCTCTCTGATTTCTATATCTCTAATTAAATCATAAGATTATCATATTGGAGAATTTAGATACAATTTAAACTACAGAGACAGTCTGGCTACATGTGGCTGCCAGCCTATGGTTTGCTCATATTTGTTCCAAAGAGAATCTCTTGCCTACAAAGTATGGTATAAATCTTTATAGCTGAACACAATTGACACTACTGATTGAATAAACAGGATTGAATAAGAGATTAAAGAAGCAAGCAATAAAGGGGAAGAACATATATGCTACACATAAACAACAAAAGGCTTTTCTTACATTAAAAAAAATTTCTGCAAATCAATTAAGGAAAGATGGACAATCCAATAGGAAATGGACAAAAGACTTGAACATATGCTTCAAAAACAGGAAATACAAATGGCCAATAAATAGCTGAACAGAGGAGTATAATTTCAATTTAGAAGAAAATTAATATAGATTATTGATGGCCAAATCTCTTTCAGAACTTGGGATTCTAAAACACCAAGCTGATCAGTCCCAGGATACCCTGGCAAATGAGTCAAAAGCAAGAGTTGATGAACAGCTGTTGAATTTTGTTGAATTTGAATATGGTCTCCAAGATCTTATCAGACTCAATTTTCTCAGTCTGAGCCTAAATTATGAGTACTGCCTTAGATTGATGTCCTTTAAGTCAAGCCCCTTAGGAGATTTTCAATGAAGGATGATGTTACTCTCCAAACAGCTCTTGCTGTATTCATCCCCAAGGGCTCCCTGGGCTTTATAAGACACTGATTACAAAGCAGAAAAGGGAAATGTACTGGATTCTTCCTGTATCTGGTCTCTTTCTTACCATTGACTTTAGGGTGGAGTGTCATGTTGGTAAAAAAAATAGAGAAATCACAAAGGAGGTAAGATACAATTCTACTTTTCCAGAATATTTGACATAATTTGCATTCCATTTTCTCTTTGTATTATGAACAGATGGGCTAGATATTAAAACAAAACAAATTAGAAGATGTCCATAGAGACTGAGAATCTTACAGAACTACCAAGGAAAGATAGAACATACATATTGGTAGGAGTATGTGTCCAGAGAAGTTTTGGAAATGTCCAGTCAGGATGGTAAGTGTAAGAAGGGAATACATCTCAAATATCACATGACTCTTCTTTATATCTTCTGGCAGGTAGATATAACCTTGGAAAAATTATTATACCTCTCTAAGACTTTTCTTATCTATAAAATGGATAATGTAAGCAAAAGAACATAAATGAGAAAATTGATATAAGCTGTTTAGTGGGATGCCATATTGCTATGTAAAAGTTAAAGAGATAATAAATATATAACAAAATAAGTTTAAATTAAATTATACATTTAAATTAAATCTTAATAGTGACTGCCTTTTCAAAAAACAGTGAGTCTTTAAGACAATGGTGAGACAAATGGCCACAGTCTATTGACATATAATTTTAGCCATATCCAGCAAAGTTAGAAACTAAGTTCTGGGGCTCATAAGATGACAGATATCTTTAACATGCAGCCTTGGCCTTTCTCTTAAGTTCCAACCACTTATCCTCAATAAGCTATAGGTCCCCAAGAGAAAGCAGGTCCCTGGGTGGGACTCTGGGGGTTCCCACATTCAGGAGCTGGGAGGAAGAGCAAAATCCAGCAAAGTAGCAGAGCAAGTATGATGCAGAAATACTGAGAGGTTATACTTTGTTAAAAGCCAAGGTTCTCCCATAGTCTCAATATTCTTGGAAAATTCTACCCTGACACACAATTAAAAGTGAGGGAGAGTGTGTGGATGATCGAATAGAGTCAGTAATTTTGACATCATTAAGAACATGGAAAATAAAACTAGGAAATTAATGACTTTGGAAAAGATAGACACTCTTTTGGGCAAACAGCCAAGGAACTGTGTTTGCATATGCTAAGAAGCACCAATGTGTTTTGTTGTTAGAAGGATACTGAATGAGGAATCTAAAGCAAAGCGAACAACGTTGTTTGACAGAATAGATGAAGTTAAGTCTGAAAAGGAGCTAGCTGACGGAGGAAATCATTCCTGTCTTCAACGTTGGGAAGTTACATTCAATTAAATAAACTATTATGAAGCTACAACTGTATTCCACTTTCCAGGCACTGGACGTGCAGTGTGAACAGTGTGACCATGATTATTTGCTCCTAACATTCTGGTAGTGGGAGAAGACAAACAGCAATCCAGGAATAAGAGAAACAATAAAGAAGCTATTTTAGGTAAACACAATTAGATTCTGTACCTACAGAAAAAAAAGAGATGGAAACTTTTAGAAATATTTATCAACTGAAGAAAGAAAAACAATCTGAGTATTCAACCATGAAGTGGAAAGCTTTAGTTAGTAGTTAATATACTACTGGGAATAAGCTAGGTTATATTAGCTGATGGGGACCTAGTCATTTAGAGTGGTTCTGTACAGGCAGGAGAGTAAGACTACATATTTTGTAAAGGCCCTTTTAAACTCTGAGACTATATAATTATGAACTTTCAGTTCTTCCATTACTTCAAATGTTCACCCTTTCAGATACAGACAGGTTTGAATGTAGGTATGGAATAATTCATGAACTCCTCTTCCTCAATCAACAGTAAAATTTGCTTCTCCCTTCAAGATTTTCTTCTTACAAAATTGAAATAAGAGAATCATTTGGCCACAGGTGGTTGCATGTAGGATTGTTTGGGATTGTTAAATGTGCAAAATCCACATTGATTGATACTTCAACATCACGGAAATAAATACCTGGATGGAGAAGCCAGTCAGATTCTTACATGCTTCTGTGTTTGACTTTTCCTACAGCCTGAACTGAGAATAGAAACACAGACTATTTACCATAATAGGTCTCTGATAGTTCTCTGAGTATCTGCGACCTACCAGAAAGGGACATCTCCTGCCATAACTTCACTTAGGAGATTTCCAACTGCCTTGCAGTAAGCACCTGGTTAAGTATCTTTCCATGTGCCATGTCTCCTCTTAATGATACAAACATTGAAGTTCTTAGATTCCTCCTTATTGGAATCCCTGGAATGGAGAAGAGTCACATCTGGATTTCCATTCCTCTCTCATCTGTTTACCTTCTTTCTCTCCTGGGTAACTTTACCATTCTCTTCTTTATCAAGACAGAACCGAGCCTCCATGAACCCATGTACTATTTCCTTTCCATGCTCTCCATCTCTGACCTAGGGTTGTCCCTCTCTTCTTTACCCACCACTTTGGAACTATTCCTGTTTGGTGTCCATGAAATTCATGCAGCTGCATGCTTTGCCCAGGAATTCTTTAGCCATCTGTTCAGTCACGGAAGCCTCTGTGCTATCTGTAATGGCATTTGACCGGTATGTGGCCGTGCACAACCCTCTAAGATACAGCACAATCTTAACCAGCTCACGAGTTGTCAAAACAGGGGACTTACTGACTTCCAAAAATGTTATTTTGATCCTTTCACTGCCTTTTCTATTGCAACGGCTGAAATACTGTCATCAAAACACGCTGTCACACTCCTACTGTCTCCACCAGGATGTCATGAAGCTGGCCTGCTCTGACAACAGAACCAATGTTGTCTATGGACTCTGGGCTGCCCTTTCTACTATTCTGGATTTGTTGTTTATTACTTTCTCCTATGTAATGATCTTAAGGACAGTAGTGGGCATTGCAACTCCCAGAGAGCAGTTCAAGGCCCTCAACATCTGCATCTCCCACATCTGTGCTGTGCTTATCTTCTATGTGTCCATGCTGAGTGTGGGAATGCTCCACCGCTTTGCCAGGAATGTCTCCTGTGACCCACATCGTCATGGCTGACGTGTTCCTACTGGTACCACCTCTGATGAATCCCATTGTGTACTGTGTGAAGACCCGTCAAATCCGAGAAAAGGTTGTGGGGAAACTTTGTCTGAAAAGAAGCTAATCAAAGGAATGAGAAAAGGAATACATTTATAAGTGATAACTAAATCAATGTTGCACGTGTACCTGGAAGTAAGCATGACATAGAGTGGCCTTGGGCTTTATTGTTGAGCTCATAGAGTGACTTTGACACTCAGTACTCGGAGCATCCCTGAGATCTTGAGAAAATTACTTCAGCTCTCTGAGTCTCAGACTGAACATGTAGAAATTTGAGCCTTAAATGAAGATCAGAATGTTCTGCTTTCCTCTTTGTAGAACATATGCCAGTAAAATAAGAGAAAAGCACTTATACCAATACATGCATTAAAAAAAAAAGTTTCCATACTTTCTTTTACTTTTCTAGCTAATAAAAACCTACTAAGAGAAAGGCTAAAACATTTCATCTGTTTTACTTGAAGTTCACGATGATGAAATTGTTGATCTAATTCCTGAAAGCCAGAGCTACCTACACACATTGAGTAATTTTAAAATTTGTATATCAACAGAATATTTGGATATAGATTCAAATTAGAAATGCTATTATAGTGTAGTCATATGAGACAATGACATTATTATCAAGGGCATTAAAGAAAAGTGCAATGACCGTATTGTCCATTATTTATTTTAGACGAATTTGTAAAATAATAACAATAACAATAATGATAATAATAATAGACATAAATTTCTCTCCTTGTGCATGCTCGGCTCTGTCAACTGTTTTTTAAACTTTGTCCCCACATATATCTACTCCCACTTCTTAGAATATAACTAGGGATCATCTTTATTATGACTTAGAAGAAATTCAGTGAAGATCTTACTATTTCTCTCAAACTTCTATTCAGATAAGATCACACATTCATTGTGAAGACTTCCCTGACCATCTCCAGCTTGGACAGATATTATAACTTCTCCTGAACATCAGTCTTTCCGTCTTTATTAATCATCTTCTATATTGTCTATGTATTACCTTGTTCTATACATATATCTGTCTCCTAGGCATACGTGCCACAAATCCTAGGTATCATTTGTGTATACATAAATTATTTTCTATAATATCTTATACAATTACTATGTGCCAGAACATAAGCGCCAGGAGACCAGTGACTGTCATAGTCACTATTCTAGCTACCACAGCACATGGCCCATAGCAAACACTCAAATAATTTTGGAATAAATAAGTGAGTGAATACTTAGAAATAGAGCATATATAGAGCCCTCCCAATACACAGCTAAAGCCTTGCTCAATCTTTAATTAATAATGTATGATCTCAATTTTATTAGTTTCTTCTTCTAATACTTCATTTCTTCCCCTAATATTCTACACTAGCATCTTGAGCTTCCCATAACACTTTTGAAATCCTGCATCCACTTTGACATCATAGAGAAATCAGTTTCTTGTAGGTCATTAATGTCTTTATTTAATATTTCTGTGTGCCTAACATACACTTCATTGCTAATATGTCTGCCTTAGATTGTAAACAAGGCAATGTCCTTTTCATAATGTCATAAATAAATACACTTAATAAAAACTTGAGAAGATGATGAGATAGTGATTATGATGGTGATTTTGACAAAGAGTAGGGAATAAAGTTAAGAAGTCAGAGATTTTGATACATTGGAGACTGTTCAGACTGAGAATAAGTCAACTTCAAGGAAGGCAAGTTTTCTTGGCAAAAGACCAGGTTCCAGGTGTAGCTGCATAACAAACCACTTCAAAACTTAGACTTAAAACAACAAAAATTATTTTTTTGTTCATGGTTTTATTTGTGCAGAGTTCTGCAGGGACACCTTGTCTCTGCTCCAAATGACACCATGACACCTTCGCTAGGGCTGAGGGACACACTTGAAAGACAGATCATGCCCATAGCTGGTAGTTGATGCTTAGCATCAGTAGTGAGCTTAAATATGATCTTTCCCTGTGAGTGGGGCTTTAAAGAGCATGATAGCTTGATTCCAAGAAGGAGCATAAAAAGACAGCCTATTCCAGGAAGTAGGATGGAATCTTCTAGCCTGTTAAGGACTATGCCTGGAACAGTAGGTACACTTCCACTGCACCTGCTAGTTACACATTCATGGAGCCAGTTTAGATTCAAAGAAAGGAGAAATTAACTCCACCTCTTGATGGGAAAAGTGACAAATTGTTTGGAGATGCCTTTAATCCACCAAAGACATAAATTGTTGCTTCCATAACTTAATGATTAGTTTAATTAACGGCATATCATGGATCAGTGTAGACCTTCACCTGCATATCCATACATTCTGGCTTCTGAACACTGACAGAGTCAATCATGGGTTGTTCAAATTGTGCCACAAAAACCACTATCTCAGTTAATCATCAGATATCACTTGGTATACTGTTGTTATTTTACCTTCCTGTTCAAGTATTTGTTAAGTTCTTCAGTGTCCATACTTTACTCTCAGTCTTTATGCTTCCCTTTAAAGGCTATGTAACATGAATTACTCTTTTTTTTACTATCTAACCTAAAATCTTCTAAATATATTCTACCAATTTATCCCACTCCTCTTCCTAAGAAGAATGCAACTCCTCTCTATTAAATTTTAATCCAAATCCCTAGAAGGCAAACTCCATATTTTCCTGCCTTTTCAGAGACCTGTTGTACCTATATTTTTCCTATTCTTAAAATCTTCCAACTAACATCTACCTTTCATCAGCCTATAAAATGTTTTTTAAAAGATACACATTTTTAGAGCTGTGTGCTCTTGCTGCCTCTACTTGTCCAGTTTTCATTAAGTTCTTTATTATTTTTATGTATTTTAATTCATTCATTCATGCAAAGTGTGTATATCTATATCTATATCTATATATATATCACATACATTTAATACAAATGCATGCCATTTTTTTTTTTGCTTTTGTTTCATGGCTTTTCTTTTCTTCCTTTGTCTATTCCACAGATGTAAGCAAATCACACCAGCTTTTCAGACAAACAGTATCAACAGGTAACAGTGTTTCTGAAAAGATGTAGTACTTGCATTTGAGTCAAGAAAATGCCATATGGGAATGTTGTGCTCATTGCAGTATATTAAACAACCAAAGGTTAAATGCCAGTAGTTCACCCAAACCCTCACTGATGGCTGGGAATGCTTTAAAGTTAATAGACACTCTTGAAAATGAGTAGGGCTGCAAAAATAAATGAAATTATATATATATAGTTATATATTAATATTTCATATATCTGCATATTTCATAATCATATGCACATGCCTATTTCATAATTCATGTACATACTTCATGTGTATTATGAAATTTCATATATATATAATAAATATGAAATAATGTGTTGATTGGCAAACTTCAGAAGAGCACTATTTTTACCACATTTCTGTCCTGTAACAAACTATGCATTTATATCACCTCTACATTTTAAAAAATGTGTCTCTCATGCTGAGCTTCATAACTCAAATCAAAATAGCATTCCAAATAAGGCCAAATGTCATACAGAATAAAACTGGGACAGAATAAATAAATAAACTTTAACTTGAGTCATGGATTGGAATAACATAATTAAACAACTTAAATAAGTAATTGATTTTCAGAGTAACATCAGCATCATGGCAGCATATGATGTCTCTCTTTGGTCCCTGTACCCATATGTCCCAAAACAAAATTAAGCATCTATCCATGAACAAAAGTGTCTCTGCAGGAGTTGTGGGATCCAGCACCATATGCCAAGGGACCCAGAACAGGTCAGACCCCCCTATGCAACAGGTAATAAGCAGACACACCTTAGTATGACTGTGGTCTCTGCAAGACCTTGTGAACCAGTTCAAACCCCTCTGAGCCTTGGGCTGATAGCACTTGGAAAACACTCACTAGGGTAGTAGTCTCCTATGGATGAGAAAGCCTTTGTGGAAGTCTGGATTTTCAGAGGAGAAATACCAGCACTCCCTTGGAGCCAGAAGATACAAGTTTACTGCACAGGAATGTGCAAGAGGGAAAGCTTGACTTTGTATTGCCTCTGCCCAATGCAGCAAAGTTCAGAGCTAAGTGAGACCTTCTCAGTCCTTGAGAAGGAGAGTGATTGCCTAGCTTCCCCAGCTGTGCAAGATGCTGCCAAATAGACTCATTTCTCTGTAGCATCAAGAGTTCTGGATCAGAAGCTCCATCACTAAAGAGAGGGAAAATATCAGAAGAGTATTAAAAGGATGTAGTCCTTTCTGACTACATTATGATATGCATTAGGAAGGACTCCCATGAGGCAACATGAGCATATCACCTGTAGATATCCCCAACAGACAACAAAAGCAGAAATCAGTAAGTAGGACTACATTAAGCTAAAAACTTCTGCTAAGCAAAAGAAACAATCAAGAAAAGGCATCCTACATAATAGGAGAAAATATTTACAAACCATATATCTGATCAGTGATTAATATCCAAAATATGTAAAGAACTCATATAAATCAATAAGACAGAACAAACAACATGACTTAAAAATGGCCAGAGAAACTGAATAAGCGATTTTGCAAGAAAACATACATTTCATAACAGGTATATTAAAAGTTGTTCAACATCACTAATCAAAACCATAATGAGATATCACGTCACACCTGTTAGAATGACTGGCATCAAAAAGATAAGAGATAACAAGTGCTGTGGAAAATATGGATAAAAAGTAACCCTTTTGCCTGTGTGAATGTTAATTGGTACAGCTCCTATGGAAAGCAGTATAGAAGTTCTTCAAAAAATTAGCAATGGAACTACCATATGACCCAGCATCCACTTCTGGGTATACAGACAAAGGAAATAAAGGAAGGGTATCACAGAAACATATGTACTACCATGTTTGTTGCAGCATTATTCATAAAAGCCAAGATAATGAAAAAACTTAAATGTCTGTCAATGAATGAATGGATACAGATGTGGTATACACATGTACAATGCAGTATTATCCAGCCCGGAGAAAGGAGAAATTCTGCCACTTATGGCAACTTAGATGGATGTTGAGGGCATTACACTAAGTGAAATAAGTCAAACAGAGAAAGAGTAATTCTATGTGATCTCAC